CTGCGGCACCGGCGCCGCCGCCGCCGCTTTATAGGACCCACGGTGGGGCCGCCCCGCCCCGGTCCCGCCAGCGCCACCGGCACCGCCCCGCGGGCGGCACCGCGGCCCGGCTCTGGGGGGGACCTGCACCTCGAGTGGGAGAAGGGCACCCTCGCGAAAGGGGTGGGGACGCGCGGGAGASCCTGGGCACTCTCCAGGCACAGAGCAGCAACGCTGGGAAGCGGTGGGGACCTCCCGGGCAGAGCGGGAGCCCCCGGGCAGGGAATAGGGAGCCCTGGGGTCACCCTGAGCAGAGAGCAGGATCCCCAGGGAGGGGATCCTCCATCAAGGCAGGGAAGACCCCTAGTAGCAGAGGGGACCCCAGAGACACAGCGGGGAGCCCCTAGAGGACAGTGGAGATGCTCAGGAGAGACAGAGTGGGAGGGAGTGGGAGAAGAGACCCTCTTGGAGCAAGGCCGTGGAGATACCCCGGGGGAACAAAATAGGAACCCCAAGAAGTGAGGGGGGACATCAGGGTAAGAAATTGTGACCTTCCCCACCGCAGCATGGCGGGAGATGCTCCCCAGAGTGCCCCGGCCCTCCACCCTGCAGCGGGGCTGGGGACCTGCGTGCCCGGGGCCCAGCGGCTGCGCTAAGGCTGCGACGGGCCGAGCTGGGCAGGCGGCGAAGGGGGCTCCCTGGCAGCCGCCCAGCCGCAGAGCCGCACCGGGCCGAGGACTTGCAAACTCACTGCACCCGCTTGCTGCATGGCGGGGAGGGGCTGCCCGGCGAGGTGGCGGGAAGCAGCCAATCGGAACAGCGAATCGGGACACTGATACCGCCCAGCCAATCGACACACCAGCAGCTCAGCCAATCAACGCCCAGAGAGAGCCCGGTCAGAGAGCCCAGCCAATCAGCACACAGGCAGTGCCTGCAGCCGGCAGGCAGGTGCAGCCCCCACCTACACCCCCGCGAGGCCGCTCACTCAGCACCTTCACCCACACCCGACACCCAGCGACACCCGCAGCCCACAGCCGGCGAGCACCCACAGCACTCATCCAGCACGCCTGAAACACCGATACACCTCAACACCCCCCTACAGCCCATGCCCAACACACCCCTACACCCTACACACGCCTACAGCCCATACCCATCACACCCCACACCCTACACCCTACACACACCTACAACCCATACCCATCACACCCCTACACCCCACACCCTACATACAGCTACAGCCCATACCCATCACACCCCACACCCTACACACACCTACAGCCCATACCCATCACACCCCTACACCCCACACCCTACATACAGCTACAGCCCATACCCATCACACCCCTACACCCCACACCCTACATACAGCTACAGCCCATACCCATCACACCCCACACCCTACACCCTACACACACCTACAGCCCATACCCATCACACCCCTACACCCCACACCCTACATACAGCTACAGCCCATACCCATCACACCCCTACACCCCACACCCTACATACAGCTACAGCCCATACCCATCACACCCCTACACCCTACACCCTACACACACCTACAACCCATACCCATCACACCCTTGTAACACCTAATACACCCCTACATCCCAAACCCCTGTCACCCACATCCACACACTCCTGCGACACGCACACTGCTACAACCCAACCCAACAGGCAGCTAGAATCCATGTGAGGTCCCCGCATGGGGCTGCCCAAAGGGGTCTCTTTTCCCCTGTGTCCTCCCTCCCCATTTGTCCTKGGCACCGCTGGCCATTGGGGTGGCAGTTGGGATCAATGGGGGCTTCGAGGACAATGGGGACTGGTGAGGATTTGGCTCCACTCCCTCCTTTCCCGACCCCTTCGGACCCGCCTGAGCTGGTGCCACCACCCCCCACTTCCCGGAGCCTGTGGCCGGTGGCAGCGGGACCCCCGGCGGCCCCGGGACAATGTTGGGCCGTGCAGCGGGATGTGTCACCTCGGGACCCGGCACGGGCTGGAGCTGGATCTAATCCCTGCTGGCGGGGCTGGCAGCGGAGAGCTGCCGCAGCACCGGGCTGGATGCCGGGGCGGGACGCAGCGGGATGCAGYGGGATGTGCTGGGATGCGGCGGGATGCAGCGRGCCGTGTTCCCAGAGGCGCCGCGGCCGTTCCCCGCGGATGCACCCGGTGCCCGCGGGCTCCCTGAGCTCTCGGGCCGCCCGTTTGCAGCCCGACCCCGCTCCCGGGCGCTGCCCGGTGCCCGGCGGGGCCGCGCTCCTCGGAGCACCGCGAATCCCGGGGCCGACTCCGCGCCCGGCTCGCCTCCCTCTGCCGCGTTGCTCCCCGGGGCCGCGGGGAGCGGGAGCTGCAGCCGCGGCAGCGCCGGGGCCGCCCCGCGCGCCCGGGCAGAGCCCCGCGGGCAGCGCCCGCCCCGCAGAGACCCCGCGGACTCGCGACACCCGCGGCCGGCAGCGGCGGCGGGCGCAGGGCGGCCGRCCAGGGGGGTTTCCCGACCCAATGMGGTATTTCGGGAGCACTCGCGGCTGCTTCGCTTCCCGGGGCCGGCTTGGGTGAAGTGAGTTTGCTGGGTCCCTGCTGGGTGCTGAAATGTCCCTGTTTCGTGGTGTTTTTTTCTGGCTTCTCTGCTGAGTTTGGCCCCGCCGGGCACCTCAGAGCCCCTCGCCCGCGGCTCCTGGCACCAGGCAGAGCGGCCACCCCGCACTGAGCACCCAAAAGTTACRTGTCGCATCATGTCACCTTACCCGATGTCGTGTTCTGTCACGTCACATCATGCCGCGCAGTATCATGTCATGCCAGGCCACGTAGCGCCACATCCTGCCTTGTCATGACATGCCGCATCATGACGCATTTCATCACATCATGGCACATCATGTCCTAGGAGGCTGTGCCGTGTCACATCATGCCACACCATGTCGTGACATGTTATGTCATGTCACACATGTCACACATGTGACACCATGCCGCAGCAGGTCATTGCCTGTCACGCCGTGTCGTGTCACAACATCCCATGTGACGCCATACCGCAGTCTATTGTGCCATGTCACATCAGGCCATATCACAGCACGTCACGTCACGCTGCAATGTCACATCATGTCACACATGAGCCTCTGAGAGAACAAAGGCCCCTGCCCATATGGGGGGACCCAGAGGGTCCCATGTTACTTTGTCTTTGGGTCTCATTTCAGGAAGCTCCCGGGAAAGCTGTGGTGGCCTCCTCGTCACTGGCACAGGTGACAGTGACATGGGGAGGGCGAGGGACCCCTGCAGTGGTGATGAGAAGGCAGTGCCAGGTGCCACCAGCCCAATGCCTGGTGTACAGRGGGTGGCAGGTCATGAGGGCTGGCTGCGGTGTCCCCATAGGGGTCCCCATGTTGGTGCCCGGGGTCCCTACTGGCTGCCCCGGGTCACCTCAGCAAAGGGGAGCTCCGAGAGATGCCCGGAGCTGTTGGATGTGTCCCCATGTCCCCTGTCCTGTGTCCGTGTGTCCCCGTGTCCCGTGTGTCCCCTTTCCTGTGTCCCCGTGTCCCCCGTCCCCATGTCCCATGTGTCCCCATGTCCCCTGTCCGTGTGTCCCCGTGTCCTGTATGTTCCCGTGTCCCGTGTGTCCCCGTGTCCTGTGTCCCTGTATCCCCGTGTCCCCATGTCCTGTGTCCCGTGTGTCCCCGTGTCCCGTGTGTCCCCTTTCCTGTGTCCCCGTGTCCCCCGTCCCCGTGTCCCATGTGTCCCCATGTCCCCTGTCCGTGTGTCCCCGTGTCCTGTGTGTCCCCGTGTCCCATGTGTCCCCATGTCCCCTGTCCGTGTGTCCCCGTGTCCTGTATGTTCCCGTGTCCCGTGTGTCCCCATGTCCCGTGTCCCTGTATCCCCGTGTCCCCATGTCCTGTGTCCCGTGTGTCCCCGTGTCCTGTGTCCCTGTATCCCCGTGTCCCCATGTCCTGTGTCCCGTGTGTCCCCGTGTCCCGTGTGTCCCCGTGTCCCTGTATCCCCGTCTCCCTGCGCGCGCTCAGAGCTCTCCAGCCCCGCGCTCCCCCGCCCCTGCTCTGACCCCGCCCCTCCCCAGGCCCCGCCCCTCCCCAGGCCCCGCCCCGGTGTCGGCCCCGCCCCGCGCCCCGGAACCGCAGCCGCGCTCGGCGCTCACTTCCGCGGGGCCGGCGGCAGCGGGCGGCGGCGGGAGGTAGGGCCGGCACTGGGATCTGGATCCGGACCCCAATCCGGATTCGGCTCCGGATCCCAGCGCTGCGGCGGGAGCCCCGGGGCGCCCCGGCCCGTCTGCGGGGGCTGGGAGCTCCCCGGACACCGCCCGGGCTGGGGACCCCGAGCGACCCGGGTTTGGGGACCCCGGATGTCCCGGTTTGGGGACCCCGGATGTCCCGGGTTTGGGGACCCCGGATGTCCCGGGTTTGGGGACCCTGGATGTCCCGGGTTTGGGGACCCCGAGCAACCCGGGC